ATAATTGTGATGCTATCTTACCATTTCTACGTTTCCTTTTCTTTTTGCCATGTTTAGGTGACACAAAATGTCTATCAGGCTTATGTCCATGCCTGTGTTGTCTTTCTATGTCCTTTCTATGATGTTTGGCAGTGGTGACATCATTACTCAAGACTTTCTTAATCAGCCTATGTTTACTGTCTGCTGGCAACACAGTCTTTCCACATTCGCTGTCACCTGGCAACACAGAATTTGCAGCCTTGCTATCACCTGACAACACTGCACCTTCTAAAACTATACCATCTTTTTCAGCTTTGGGTTCTTGGTGCATTTCCTCAGTGGATTGGGTGGCACTGTTTAAAGTGTCATTATCACCTAACTCAGCTGTGTGAATCTCATCCAATTTTTTCAGGCTTCCAGGAGCTGTCAGAGACCTATGTAGTATTGGTGAACTCTGCTTGTTCCTTTCTTCACACAGTTGTTGGTTGCTATGCGACCTCCTGATCTTTGACTTCTTTAAATTAATTGTGATATCTGACCCAGTGCCAGCAAAGATGGCATGGGTTTCAGTTCCTTGCTTGGTATCCTGTGATGTGAGTGTGAACAGCTCATGTAAATCATTAGTTTTGAAGAACCGCCGTTGTTTTGGATCTTTCAACACCCGATTAGTCAGAAATTGCTTGAAGATTTGTCTGTAAATAAGCATCTCAGAATTAGTTTAACCCTTCATAGTTACACAAATGATCCCATTATCATTATCATTATCATTCAATGACAAAAGTGATCATCACCATGGTAGACCCTGCCAAAATCTTGATGGGCACTTTTTTTCCCACTTTCTGTAATTTTCAGAAATTTTTAGAATTATTTTGGACCAAAATGACTTCACATGGCTTCAGGGCTTACTCCATATTCTGATTATAATTATTACTAATCTGATAACTTTTAACCAAAAAGACGCATAATATCACACATATTGATTGTGATTGATTGATGGTATTTAATTTGAGAAAACCTCTTTACAGCCAGCTAATGAATTTAGCTTTATATCAACAATACAAATTTTACGTCATTACCTGTGATAGATTTTCTCTTCAATTGTACCACTGGTCAATAACCGATATATGGTCACCTGTTTGTTTTGACCAATTCTCCAGGCTCTCTCCCTGGCTTGCATATCAGTACTAGGATTCCAATCGGGGTCATAGATCACCACGCGGTCTGCACCAATCAGATTCACTCCTAACCCACCAACACGAGTTGTCAATAGAAACACAAATACTGACTTATCCTGCAAACAAAATGAATAATGTTTATATTCAATGCAATAATCACACAAGCTGATCAATTATATTGATTATTAGAACATCAACCAAGAAACCATATAAAAAGTAATGTGTGATTGGTTCTCTTTATCCACTTCAAGCATATAAATACTGTAGCCACAAAAATTAGTTATTGGTCGAATGTTACAAATTGTGTCAAGAAAACAAGAAAATCGCAACTTTCACCATCATAAATATGAAATAATTACTAAAATGTGACAATTTAAGTCAAAATCACATATAATTATGGATAATTAAATCCTTAATAATTCTTGCCATCACATTTCTATTAGCTAACACATAAACCTAATTTATGAACATACAGCACCTGTTCATTTCATTATTAATTCAGAAGAAGAGAAATTTCAAGAAAATAGTAAATAAAAAATGATCTGTGCTTCTTTTAGTTGCAATAAATGATAACTTCCAAACAAGGATTGATACACACAAAAATTTTAAAAATCAAGCAGTTTTTGAGAAAATTTCATGAGTTTGTGTCAAAGGGCTCAAAGGATATCGCCTGCATGGCACCAACATGAAATTACACTCTTTATCGGTGTATAGCGCCTGAAAATTGTGTTTTTCAGAGTTTTTGGGAGTTATTTAACGCTGGAATCATAGTTTATTCAGTATTTCACAGTTACCCAAATTTTGGGTCTAACAGTCATCGACTGAACACATGACACAATGCTGGGATGAAGTCAGCATTAATATTAAACATGACAACCACTTAGAATAAGAATCAATGGTTGGAAAACAATTTCTGCCTAGTAGATATAGGTGTCCACCTCCAAACAAATGTAGAATACATTTCATTCACACTATGTGAAAGTCATCTTCAATATATACATTTTGTATAAAAAGGTCAACATTTTTGAAAAAATAGCAACTTACCTGGTTGAATCTATTGACTGCAGGTTGCCGTGACGATATAGGAGTTGATCCATCCATTCTCATGTAATTATATCCTCTTGATGTTACAAAGCTATCCAGAATATCCAACATCTAATGAGAAAGGTAAAAAAAAATGTCAGAAATATGTGACAAGTTCTCTCCACTCAAATAGTGTTTTCCATTCTCTTCCATTGATCACATACACTGTTTCCATGACATCTGTAACCAAGGTATTTGGAACATTGGATGCAATGACTAAAGAGAATGGACCATAGTTTTGGAATCAAAAACCAGTCTTGTGGCTTCTGGCTCTCAATAATTTGCATCTGAAGTCTATTTTTGATTCAAAAACATCACAAATATGATACAAGCAAAATACTTTAAAATTTTTTTCCCACAAAACAAAAGTTTTACACTACCGGGTATGTATCTAAATGTATGCAATTTATTAACATTTTTGATCATGCGACGATGATGCAATACAAAATATTATGATACCTTCAGTAATATCCTCAATTTATTCCCCTCAATGAAAAAAGTCGGATAATGTATGTTCGAATTTTATGTAGATGAACATTGTAATTTACATGCAGTGTGTTGTAACATAGGATACATATTGTGCACAATGTAGCATGTTTTAATCCATTGCCATAAATCCATACAATCACTCCTACTACCTTTCATGATACAAAGCTTATATCATCCTGAAACACATGGATTAAACATATCAACTTATGTTTAATTTTAGCAACAGAGGAGGAATGAAATACCAACATACATACCTGTTTACTTTGTGTAAACAACAGGACCCTATGTCCTTGTTTCTTCCACAGTTTTAACAAAGATTCTATTACGATTAGTTTTCCTGATTTCTTCCAATATCCATAACGCATTTCTTCTGGGATGTCATCATCATGCTCATAGTCACCTTTCAGTACCCTAGGGCCACCAGTGGATATATCAGGGTGGTTACAGATCTTACGTAGAGTAATTAACCCAGCAAATACCTAGAATTATGAAAGAATATAAATATATGTTATTATTATAGATCTGTCACACCATAAGTTACAGTGTGTCAGGATTTAGGCAGAGGTATTTTAGAGGTATTTTCATTCTACCATATAAGGAAATGCGAATTCCAAATTTTTTTGGATTTCAGCATTCCCATGATGTATCCTTGGTAGGCAAGGATGTACATTAATAAGGTTATGACGAGGATACCTCAAAGTGCATATTTTGAGGTATCCTCGTCATAATGTCATATTATACCCACAATAAATATGAATCATTAGATAAATGTGGGAATTCATTTCACTACTCAGATCTTTCCATCTGAAAACATAACAAATATCGCCATTCATTCAAAATCAACATATATTATTAGATTATCATATATCTATATTCTAAACCACTATAATTTTATTAGACACAAATTTTGGTGAATTTTGAGAGTTGCGAGTAATCACAAAATTATTAAAAGGAGAATTCATTCACATTCATTCTGAAATATTTGTAGCTTATTGGTAATGTATGTTTATGAATGTATGTTCATTATGAATAGTTGCAATGTCTGCATAAAACATACAAATAGAACAAGAATTACCTTATACCGTCCTGTTAATATTGCGTGACATTCACCGGAGTCGATGTACTCCTTATATACGTCCACTTGTTCGGGTGTCAATCTACAGAAGAGGACTTGCTCATTTTTATCTGGCAAGTTGAGATTCACTTTGACGTCTTGTTTCATTCGTCTTAGTAAGTATGGATTTATAGTGTCTCTAAGTACACAGGCACATTTATATGCAGTCTGTACCTGTGTGTAGATAGATAGATTCAAATCAAGGAAGTTAAAAACATACATTGAAGTGGTGTATATGTGAACATATCTGTGAAAATTTGATTTATTGAGTGCTAAAACCAACCTGTATTAAATCGTAAAATAAACCTGTATTATTTTGTTATATTCATTTGGTGCAAAGTCAACAAAGAAATTATAGAAACCTTGATTTTTGCAGAAAAATTGGATGACATTATGCTTAGTATACTTTGTATATTTATGTACAATGACGTTATAACAAATATGTTCCATGAATTCATTAATAAAACTGCCATTCAATGCATCATATATGAATGTAAGAAACAAAACAACACACGTTGAGCTTTCAGAAAATATATACGTTCCATTGTCAAATCATCGCATCCCAGGTTGTGATCTTTGACATCCACTCATCTTCATGATTCCCTTACCTGAACATCAGATGCATTAGAGTAACCACCCATAGTGAACACAATGTCAAAGGTTGTGATCTTTGACATCCACTCATCTTCATGATTCCCTTACCTGAACATCAGATGCATTAGAGTAACCACCCATGGTGATTGGGACAGAGAACTCCTGCATGAAAACTGGCAGGGTGCCAAGTTTACCCGGAAATACAAAATCAAATAATGACCAGAGTTCACGCAAGTTATTCTGCATTGGAGAACCTGAGAGTATGATTCGATGTGGCGTACGGAACTGAAAAGAAAAGAAAAAGGAACAGCATTAAACTTTACGAGAAAATTTGTTTTCATCAAAGTGATACAATTGAAAAGTTTGTGAAATGATGTATGTGTGAACCTACACTATTGTAAGATTGCAGACAATATTTATTTGAATGGTGACCAAAGTACACTAACTTTAATAAATACCTGTAACAATGTTTAAAAAGTGAAACTTGTCTAAGCCATACAACTAAAACTGAAAATGATTTGGTACATGAGGGTAAGAAGTTAAAACATATTTCACTATATTTCAACCACAGCTTAATGCAGATGCCAAAACACTTTGTGTAAAATATTTATCACTTGACATAATACACAAGTACACAAACAATGTGTTCTGTGATTGGCTTTTTGCTTATGTGTTTGTGTTTGGTAGCCAATCAGAAACAGTCTTGTATTAAATTTACCTGTTTACAAGCCTGAGTGACATCAGCATCAGGGTTTCTGATTTTATGTCCTTCATCCAGTATAACATAGTCCCATTGATATCGCAGCAACATGTCTTGTTGTATTCGTACAGCGGCATATGATGTCACCAGCACACCACGTGATTTCACAATATCGTATACCAGCGACGCCTGTCAACAAACACATGAAATATATTGATGTTTTAAACTTGCTTACTTCCAACATTCATCAAAAGAAAGAAACTGACATATAGCTAAGGACATGAGACAGCTCCATCAAACTATATTACACAGCACTTAAAAATAAATAATTTTCTAAAATCCAATCTGTAGGCATAGTGGGTGAATTTTATCAGAGAGCATATAAATCATTGGTGAACAGTTTGCACATACTACCAGTATGTATAAGGCTACCATATTGAAAGTTATTACCAGGTACCAGGTAGTAGTAGCAATAACGTATTTAGCAACAAAAATTTTTTTGTTTTTAATATAACTTACCTTTGAGCCAGAATAAGACCCAGAATCATGGAATATAGCCACTCTGAAGTCTGGATACCAGGTATGGAATTCTCTGACCCACTGATGCATGACTGTGGTTGGGCATACAATGAGTACTGGACCTAAACCAATGTACCTAACACAGATATAAAACACAACAAGATTACATTTCCATTCATACTAGTTAGTGCATATTTGTCAGTAACTCCCTACAAGCGCAATAAAAGTCACTGTGACTCCCTAAGACCTTGGTAAAGTCACTGTGACTCCCTAAGACCTCAGTGACAGCCACTGTGATTCAATAGAACATCAGTGAAAGTCACTGCTATAGAATTTTGTGACTATGAGGAGAACAGCAGAAACTAATCAGGACTAACACCATTTATAATGACAGCAGGTCAAAGACACTCAAATTCACTCAAATAGAAACAGAAATACCATTAACACAGTGAATATAACAGAGTCTGCGTAGAGACACTATACGCTTGTTCATATCATAACATGGTTTGGTTGCTCTTGTGTTTTAATTCAGCCATTTTACCAGGATAGAGAAATGATATAATCCAACAGAAACACTGTTCATGGGAGAACACACAAAAACACCATTCACTGATTTACTCACTTGTCTCCCTTGATTTGTAATTTAGAATATTTTAGACCGGACAAGAATGATATGATTTGAATAGTTTTGCCGAGTCCCATTTCATCACCAACAATACCACCAGTCTGCTGGCAATGTAACTCCCATAGCCATTTCACTCCTGTCTTTTGATATCTGTGGAGAGGAACAAAAATAATCAAAGTTGAAAAGTATTCCATATCATAATTGCTCTATTAGTAGCACATATGCTGACATATATATGACACTAGCTAATCTCCTCCACTTAGAAATGTTACTACAAGACTAGGAACACTTGTGATCAGTCATGTTATATATATTTGCAGACTAATGTAACAACTATCTCTCATAATAGTTAAAAATAATAGACAGAGGTCAGTTCATTTTTTTTTTCTTAAAAAAACAGTCCATTCTCTAGTAAGTAATATTTAGTCGATAATGTTAGCATATTTATTTAATATTTCGTACAATTTATGACAATATGTACATACAATGTATATGAGGATTTTTTGTCATTCTACATTTCCTGAGTTGTACATTACTACCCAAATTAGTATACTGTAAAATACTTTATTTTAGCTTGAATTAATTTACAATATAAAAAGGCTTTTTTTTTTTTGCGTTTTGTATGTAATTTATTTTCACTGCCATTTGAATGTCAAATATATAAAACAAGCCATGCATGGCACAGTCCCCGTTAGTTATCAAATTTAAGATATATAGTTTTGTTTATAGTAATATAGCTGGAATATAACCATGTCAGGAATATGATTTTTTAACATTAAAGTGATTGACATTTGTATCTGATCGTCAAAAAAGTACTGGAACAGCATTCAAAATCAGCCATATTGAATACATGTATATATATAACATGATGTATAACAAATATATAAAATTTGAATATAATCAGTCAAAGCATTTAAGAGATATGGCTCTAGAAGCCCAATCATTAAAACAAAATGGCCGCCAGGCAGCCATTTTGAATCCGATCTGATAAATAAATGATGTGCATCAGGAACCTGTAATGTCTAACATATGTACCAAGTTTGAATGAAATCCATCCATAAATGCTTGATATTTGATGATTTTTTATCACAAAAATGGCCACCATTTGGCCACCATTTGGCCATTTTGAATAGGATCGTCAAACCAATATATCTGTCTATCTATGACATGATGTATAATGAATATTTAAACATAATCAGTGAAAGCAAGTCAGAGATATGGCACGAGAACCACATTCATTAAAACAAAATGGCCACCAGTTGGCCATTTTAAATCTTATCTGAAAAACAAAATTATTTGCATCAAGGACCCATAATGACTAATGTATATACCAAGTTTGAACAAAATCCATCTGTAAACAGACGAGAAATGCTTGTTTTTGATGATTTTTAGCACAAAAATGGTCGCCATTCGGCCATCTTGAATCAGATCGTAAAACAAAATGATGTTCATCAAGGTCCTATAATGTCTAATGTATATACCAAGTTTGAACAAAATCCATCTGTTAACAGCTGAGAAATGCTTGTTTTTGATGATTTTTAGCACAAAAATGGTCGCCATTCGGCCATCTTGAATCAGATCGTGAAACAAATTGACGTGCATATGTATACTATCATGTATGCTATATGTGTGAAGTTTGATTGTGATTGGTCCAGGCATTTCTAAGATACATAAGTCCCCGTTTTCGGACTGCGTCCAAACGGGGACTAAAAAGTTATATTTTCACTGGATTTTATTTTCACTGAATCATTCCTTCAGTGAAAATAGCAAAATTAAATTCCAAGTGAAAATAATGCATTTCACAATACGACAACCAACTACACACAGGTATATCACCCATAATTTTTTTGAAACAGAGTACTGTGTCAGAGAAGATCCTCAAACTTAGAATTGGAAATATAAATTAAGTTTCATTCATTCATTTGGTGGAAACTGCAGTTTTACATTTTCCACTAAAAAAGAAGATACCAGTATTGATAACTTTGTTTTAGTCTTACTTATATAGCTTGCACCAGACTTGACCCGGTATCTTCAAACCACCCTCAAACCGATAATCATCAACATCTTCATCACTCTCACTTTCACCTGCATCAATTCTAGCTTTTTTCTTCATCAATTTCTCTTTCTTTTGTCGCCTAATGAAAATAAAAATGAACATTAGTATCAGTATTCTCCATGTGAATTCCCCCAATAATTTCATAAAGGTATCACATTTATATTTCAACTAATCCAACAACATGACAATGGACCATAAAGGATCCATGAAAACAAACTCACATATGTTCACAGAGTTTATGGAAAATTGTTTCCCACACAAGAATTGCACAGTGTACAGTTTGTAACAGCTACTACTCTTTACAGTCAGTAACTTTTTGAACACCAATTTCATCTTTGGCCAATTTTAAAGAATCAAAGCGAAATAATAATTTCCAGATTTGTTCAAAACCTTTTATCAAGAGAAGTAGCCAATGAAGATCCAAAAATAAAAAAAAAAAAATGTAGAAAATAAATAAAAATTACAAAATAACACACCCAAAATTTTGGAACAAAACAAAACACTCAAACGGTTAAAATGGTGAAAAACTGGCCTAATTATTTGATATGCAAATTAGTGATAATCACCTGAATAAATATTTATTACAGACTATAAATTACTGTGGAATACTTTATTTTCGCTGGAATTTAGTTTCGCTGAAAAGGCTTTTTGGCCGTTTTGTATAGAATTTATTTTCACTGATTTTTGATGAGTTTAATGTGAAATATAGGAAAAAAAGTATATTCGCTGGATTTTATTTTCACGGAATCATCCGTCCAGTGAAAATAGCGAAAATAAATTCCAAGCGAAAATAAAGTATTCTACAGTACTTGCATTTACATGGAATTTATTTTGAAGACTTGCTTGATACATTTGTTCAGTCTCCTAAGCTAAATACCATGTGTTAGAAGGCAGGGCAAACTGCACTCACAATTATAATGCTTGGGAATAGAACCCACAACCTCCCTTTTGTGAGGTGAATGTTCTATTCACGGTACTGTCACTCGGGTCTTCTGTGAAGTATTTTCACTGGTTCATTAATTACAAAATATTGGGGCAAAAAATCTTACTTCAGTCTCTTGTGATACATATCTTCATTTGCATCATCTATCAATTTCTTCATCATTTGATTCTTGGACTGTTTGATGAGTTCTGATCCTGAATCATCATCATCATCATCATCCTCTTCCTCATCCCAATCCTCATCTTCATCATCAACTTTCTTCCTCCTCTTTCTAGGAGAAGGTTCCTTGGTAGCATTACCATTTTCTATAATCAGACGAACACATAGATCTCTTGTGATGCAGATCCTTTTGAAACTAGGACAATACAAATATGTTATGTGGAAAAGAATGTTTCCCTAAATATTTCAAATTGTAAAATAATCAATTCTAAAAATTCTATTAGTTTTAATGGTTTTTAATTCGTCACATTTTTGTCACCTTCAAATTTTTCATACAATTACCACAATCAAGTGATGGATATGGAATATTATCACCAGACCCAAATTTTATAAAATCATTTCATTTCTGGTTATTATAAAACTATTATCACAACAATGTATCAAGTGATGCACTAAGGTGGCACAGGACCATTAAGCTTTGATATGCATCAGTTTATACAACCACAGTATACCCTTTGTGCATATTGTGTGTTATTTTCGTTATATCCTCGTAGTAACCCCAGCTTTCAGAAAAAACTCAAGAATGAGAAATTCTACTTACTTAGAGTTTTACTTATTCTGTAATCTTCAGACTTCCAAGAAGCTTTTAATTCTTTTTCATCTGGAATGTACTCATCATCATCATCCTTGTCGTCATGGTAATCACTATAACAATCGTCATCACTTCCACTTTCCCAATTTGGAATAAAATCTTTGTTTTTCCTTTTCCGTCTTTTTTCTGACTTCTCCAATTTATCAAGATTCAGTGGACTTCTATTTCTTCGATTCTCCAAAAATGCTACTTGTCTATCATCAATTTCATCTTTAAACTCTTCTGGTGTATCTAAGGAACTTTTCTGCTTTTTCTTAATTTTCTTTTCATTGCTTTGAACTGTTAGTTTATTACTGTTTTTTATTTTGGATGGATCATCAGTTTTTTTCACTTTCTTTTTCACCTTCATAACAGCATTTTTTTTTTTCAACTTTTTTTTGAGATTGTTTGTCCTCATCCATCAGGAATTTTTCAAAGTCAGTCATTCCAGTCAATTTCTTGACGGGAACAATACTTGGTTGCTGTACTACATTACTAAAGCTAACTTGATTTCCAAATGGAGTCATTTCTCCAAGCCTGATAAGTCTTTCTTGTTCTGTTTCTTGCTGTGAGTTTCCTGATGTACCTGGACCTCGAAGTAAACTATTATAGGCCGACATTTCATTGTCACCTCCTGCAAAAAATATTATCAGATGTTTAAACTGATCATAGTTCTCATCTCAACTATCGAAGATTTGTGAAAATTATTCAATTGCATTTTAAATGATTAGTCATGTATTAAGGTTAATATGAACCCTTTGTCATTTTCCACAAAAATGTTGGTGCAAGATTGTGTCAATTTTTATGTATTTTTCAATAATTTTGTCGTAATGAACATAATGTCCAATGGGCTACAGTTCTTGATCAAAAGTTTTGAAAAATATAAAAAAATTGGGTTTTATTTTGTTTTTGATTCTGGTGGTCAACGGCCCTTTATTGGGTTAAACAAAGGGAAGAGATATTTTAAAACTTAACCACTGTAATTGTTGCCATGGCTACAATACCTTCATCAGATGAATCGCTTTCTTCCAAGTCAACAACTGTTCCATTTATTTTTGCCAAAAATTTCTTCTGTTTGGCTCTGAGTTTTTTAAGCTGGCGTTGCTATGGGAGGAAATGAACAAAAACGCATGCCATTACATGTACATACTGTTTACAGTAGTGATATAGTACCAGTAGTATGGAATGGTTAGGGAGGTTTATTACACACACAGAACTTTAAAATATAGAAACAAGTCTACACATTCGTGAATACCGGTATTTGTTCAGTTATTATGACATGCTAAAAATTTCTTCCCTGGTTTTCATGGAAACTTGTTTCTCATGAACTCAAGGCGATGTCCCAACAGAAGAAAATATTTCTCATCTGATATGTGAGAGGACATTCACTAGCTCACTCACCTTATTGTCTTTCTGTTTCTTAACAGAAATCAGTCTCCTCTGAGTTTCCTTATTCACAGTATGCGAAGCAATATTAGACAATACTTTCTTGATATGTGAAAGATCTTGTTTTGTTAATCTAAGAATGGAAAATACCATGCTCTATAAATTAACAGTTTTGGGAATACCAATAACTATCACACATATGCCAAGTGAAATGGAGCAAATATAAATCAAGAAAAAAACAACAAAATAAGTATAATTTGATGATAATCAAAAGAGATGAAACTCAAGTAATCACCAAACAATTCAACTCCACTATTAATACTGTGTAAACGTACGGTACATTACCTGATATCATCCAACACTGACTCTAGTTCCTTCTCTGCATGTTGTATTTCGAATTCCCTCTCTCTTTCAATAATAGCATCATCCACTTGCTGTAAGACATTCTGTTCAAATTCTGCATGGCTATAGACATCCACATTAAGTCCACGGAGCTCCTCTGACTGCTGACTACTGGGCACTTGGGGAATGAGTGCGGTGTCAATGTGTAAGACACTTTTATTTTTATATCCTGATGTTGACACTTCCTCAGGATTATTCATATTCTGTTCTGAAGTGAGAATGCTTTGCTGATCAGTTAGTCCCATAGTGTTAATGTTTGAATTTTGTTGTTCTTCGTGACGATTGCATAGAGCTTGTAACAGCATACTTGACTGGAAGAAGTTTTTGTTAGGCACTGGTGGTGCCTGACAATATCCATTTGCTTTGTTTTCTACATTACTCATTGAAGGATGACCAGCACCCATACTCCCATCTGAAATGACAGGTTTTGGCTCACTCGCACCATCTTGCACTGTTTTTTTCTTATCCATTTTTATCAAATCCACATCAGCATTTCTTTAATCACTTCATAATAAAATCTTGGTCTTGAAGAGAGAAAAATTTCTGGAACCAAACAAACTATTTGATCAGTTCAGTGATTGCATCAATTCACTACAGTGAGTTTCATGAAGGCAAGAAAGTTTTTATGAAAATTTATAAAAATATCTACCGGTATTACTATTATCTGTTTCTAATTTTTACTTCTCTTCTTTTGTTGAATTTCAGTGTATTTTAATTTTAGTGTTATAGTTTGTCTTATTTTAATTGTTTTTGTAATCATTTTTTACCTTACTAAACCCACAGATGGTTAATTTGCATAATAAAGTTATTATTAGTAGTAGTAGTAACCCGTTTGCTTCCCATGGAAGATTCTCATGCTTCATTCAAATCCAAAAAATATGCTTTCTTTGATTATAGAAGCCATTAGGTAACGGCCATCACCAATTAGTTTTTGTGGCTTCCTTTCAATCATTGACTGATTTTCTGCATGTACACAAATGATATATGCATATGCTAAGACGCTGTGATGGTCAAGTTGTTTTCAACAGACCATCATTTGAAATAAATAAATATTTTATTGATATACAAAAAATAATAAAAAAAACTTTGCGGGATAGTACACTGCCACACAATTGTCATACAATCTAAGCTCCCAAGGGAGAAAACAAGAACACAGATGTTACTGTGACCCTGGAGTTTGATTGGATATGCCCAAAAACAATCACAGATCTTGTTTCCTGAGCAGGAGTGTACAAAACTGTAATGTTCTCACTATGCCAGGCAATAATGTTGATTACATCCCTGTAATAGCCTGGTATGGAAATATCTATCGATATATGCAGGACTGTGTATGAACATACTTGTACAGAGGGTGGTATGCTTTCAAAATCAAAATACTGTTGGTTTCAATTTGTTTATAATTAAGTGGGTAACAGCAAAGTGATTACCCCCATACTATACTCTCCCCCGAATAATTACATACCGGTAATGTAGGTTACCGCTACACGTATGTCCGATCTAATTTGTGCTAAAAAATAAACAAAAGAATTAATTAATTAGACAACTCACTATTGTCATTGAATTTGAAACTTACAGTTTACAGTCGTCGTCAAGGCTATAAATGCGCGTTAGTGTCGATAATTCATGAAACAACAATATTATGTACCACGATCCGACGAAGTTTGAGTGTGAAATGGCTGAATCAACACGAAATGCAGGTAAATAAGTAGTGAACGAAATCTCAAAGTCAGCAAAAATATTGTGTTTACACAATGCCGGCGTAAAAACCCGAATCAAAGGCTATGACATACGTAGGTCCCCACTCCCATCCAGATTGGCTACGAACGGTAGTAATGTGCTCCATATTTACGAAGAAACTACAAACAGGTAAATAGATCAAATAATTTTCTATAGAACAACACTGAATGTGTTCAAGCAATGTCACGGACTCACCGACGTCAAGCGACCAACCATGTTGAATTCCATTCTGTGTGTCAACACAGGCGGCGCTATAATACTGAATGAGATCAGGTGACCATCACACGTGATGATGTGAAACAAAACACCGAATTATGATTCAGTTTCAGTTCCTTGAAAACGGGAAAATCCGTTATATCCGCAGCGCTACCAACGACAGAGATTCAGAGTATCAATATGAGCGGTAAATTATGTCTCAGAAATTTGTTTTTCAAAAATCATTTCGCTATTGAGCTGAGCGACAACAGAATGGGCAGAATGACTATCATTATCATTATTATTCCGGTTTTAATCTGTCTTGCTTGGAAACATTTTGTATTTATGTCTAATGATGTCGAATGTAAATTTGATCAGATTTCATTGTCCTCTTTTTGTTATCTAGACTGCGTTACAACCAACGATGAACCAATAATAGGTATGTAAAATAGGTATTTAAATGTAGATGTCAGTTGAATATTCTTATCTTATATAGACTGTTTCTAGTGTGCTAGTGTTTTTATTAACGTTTGGGACACGGGTATCTAGGTTCTAGTGTCTCGCATTGAAATCGCTTCAATCAGCAACATTTTTCAAATACCATTCCATATATTTTATTTATTTTAGAGTATATATTTCACAACGTTTTTTTTTCTTTTGTGGGATTTCATGTGTTTTGTGGGATTTCATGTGCATTTCATGCCTTTAAGGCCATGCAGCTTTCTGACCATAGATAGGGTGAATTTAAGCCTAACTGATTATTCTTTCAACAAGAGAACACAGTGATCATTTGCATATTAGTTATACCACTTTCTTCTAAACAGTGAGTAAACAATGTCTGTCGAACATCAGGGAGATCGTGGGTTTGATTCTTTTATTATATATTTCCGTTACTAACTTCAATTTAGTTTGTTTTTGGTTGTACTTTAAACTCTTAGATTGTAATTTGATTAATTTTTATTTGTAATTTTCTTTTGTAATTTTCTTTTCCAGTAGGTTGTTATGAGTTAGGGTAATAAATACCTGGTACATTACAATGATGGTCTGCTGCACCTTTGCATACCTTGCTAGGCTTGCGGCATTCATGTTTGGGTGTAATGGAGTCTTTTTGGATGGAGATGTTAAGCTGTCAGTCCCATGTACTGTTCATGAATTATACAAATTCTGTGTTTTTTTAACAATTAATGTTATGATTATAAGACAGTTTGTCTAGCTAATTATTCACTTAAAGTTCACTGGCTAAATATTGACAAACAAACACCATATAAACTTTTGTGCCAGACAAACAATAGCAATTATCACATGAGACATGATATCCCTTTGCATACACTATGTTTTTGTCTTGGCTTTGAAATGTCGATGACGAAACATGGCGATTACGGAAAATAACCAAAATTAGTATGCAAAATTATATATGACAAAATCAGCACCAATAACCACAGCAGAACGACTTGTAATATACTCAGGATTTATTTACCAATACTAACAGCAAGCCCACTGGTAATCTGGAGACTTACAACGTGATATAACACAATATAACACAAATTGTAAGAATGACGAAGAACTTACAGTATGCCCTTGATATACATCATGCAAGAAATTAGCGAGAAAGCCTCAAATTGGCTGAATATAAAAATTGAAATGTTCGCATTCATGTCGTCACACTTCAGAATCTGTATTTTGAAACAATGTATAAGTCAGGATACAATTGAACTTGTATAAAACAAAATGAATAAAGCGATTAACAAAATGAATAAAGTGATTACCAAATATTGCATGTTTTAATTATACATGTACAATGCTTCACAGATAAATGATCCAGAAATTACTCCGACACAACATGTCATTATGCATTTATTGTAATAGGACCACTCATTAAGGGCATAAGGGTCACCTTCTGATTGCATTTGAATAGTTTTTATTGCATATTTGCATCACGCATTTTAACAACTATTATAACGATCTAGACACAAACATCACTGTATACCTAATACCTATGACTGTCCGTGTTTGTGAGAACACCCCAAATCAAATGTCAAATAAAATTTCTATGGCTGATCTAGCCTAAGCAGACCATGGTGTGCTGCATTAAAAAGCATAATCAAAATCTGTGGTGATAAATGTGTGATGCAAGTGCAAATAACGGGCGATGCGAATGTGATTGTTGGGAATCACAAATGCAATAAATGTTTGTGGTAGTCACAGTTTAACAATCTCTATGTTATTGTGTGTTCAGGAATACTGACAATGAAAACTGATGGGAAGAAGGCAGAACATGGAGATACATTTATCCCAGCATGCTTTGTAAAGTATTTAGAGAGTGCAGGAGCTAGAGTAGTACCAATCTTTCTCAATCAGTCTCCATCTTACTACAAGCATATATTTGATTCAATCAACGGGTATGTGTCAAGAGTAAACAACATCTTTTATACAAAATATGTCAACGCAGAACAAATATTAATGTTTTGGACATCATGTGCATCAGTTTTTGTCAGAATTTTAGAAAAAATGAATAAAAAATTAAGTTTTCATAGAAATTCAAAATAAAAATACAGATAATTATTTTAAAACAACAAATAAAATTAAAAAAATATCTGTGCGTATAAATTAAAAAAAAATTAACCAGAAACTTTTTAATCTGAACTAATATTTTCTTTCATTCTTACATAGACCCTCATAGAGGGACTATGATTCTAACAAGGTATAAGTACATAGCACAGCTATCCTTGAGTAGGAGTATACTATGAAAAACAACCATAGCTTTTGTTGCTTGTGAGTATTTTCATAGTTAGCCAGTATATGTTGAACAGTGTCTTTTCACTTCTATAGCATGCAATACCAATTCAGATTTGTTTTGTGCATTGTCCAGTCACACTCTCTCAGGTATGTATTATAATAGTCAGATTTTTTCATGATTTTTTTCAGGATTCTCTTCCCAGGTGGAGATGTAGACTTGATTACTTCTGATGCTGCTGAAGCCGGGAAAATCCTTTATGAACATGCCATCCAGGTAGCTAGTTATAAATTCTTTATGAACATGCCGTCCAGGTAGCTAGTTATAAATCCTTTATGAACATGCCATCCAGGTAGCTAGTTATAACATTCAAAAGTTAAAATAAGATCCTTGTTTGTTCTAATTTTTTTAAATATGTTTTTAACTGTTTTTTTGTTATCCTACACTTTCTTTTACTTTATTTTATATGAATTTATCAGTTTAGGCTCTGCAATAACAGAGCAGTTTTTTGGAAATTTGTATAATTGCGAATATTATAAAAATATATGGCAGAAATATTAAATTCAAGCCGCACAATCAGATTTAAAAATCAAACAGGCTTCATTTTTTTTTTTTTCATACTGTTTTTTGTTTTTGTTTTTTTATATGACAATTTTTTTCACTTTGCTGTTATTAGGTTTTTTATATATCATATCTCAACATGCACTACGGAATTTACACCACATTCTCCAGTACACACACTGTGTTCCCAACTACAGTAGAACGTCGATTATCTGGACGTCGATTATCCGAAATGTTCGGTTATTCGAACCTACTGTGTGTCCCCAAAAGTTTGTATGCAGGTCTGGCTGTGTTCCGTATAATACAAAAGTCAACTGTGAACAATAAATACTACAGTCGTCTTGTATGATTTCCTGGTGCAACATTTTCAATAAAGCTATTATCAACATGTAACCTGACGTCTTTCACGTGTACGTTCATTGTTTACAGTGTCTGCGCAAACAATTACAGATCGAATAATTTCCTAAATTCAGACAAGCCTATTATGCAACACCAGTGTTTCACTGTAAATAAAAAATGTCCTAAAAACACAAACTTCATCAAATGTCTTCTTCACTGTTTACAGTCAGATCTTTAACTTTACCAAGTTGTAAGTCACTGCAGTTCGGAAATGTTTCCCGGGAAAATTGTACGGAGTTCCACTGCCGTCAAAGAAACGCGGCCATGAGCCGATCCCATGTTTTTTCCAATTTTTAATTTTAATGTCCAGTATCAGAAGTCACATCTTTTTCGGAATAAAAAAGGAAAGAAAATAACTTCTGGGATGTCTTGCCACAGAAGCGACGCCAGTTTAATAGTGCAGTGAAAAAGAGTGATGACATGACAAAACCTTGGTGTGCCTCTTTGATTGTTTATCAGCAGACAACGACAACCAATGACCACAGTCGGCGGGCTGTTTGATGGTTCACAGCGTCGAAGTGTTTACGTCCGGTGATCACAGTAGCCAACCTGGATTTTTACAACAATTTATTATGTCAATCGTTCTAGGTGTTAAAAACTTTGCTGAATCCAATAAAATCGGGACATCTTGTAGCAGTTTACCATTCGAAAATCCACGAGTTGGTAAATCGACGATATCCGATATCATGGCAAAACGAAAGCTGCTGGATTCAAGTGCAGGACTGAAACGAAAGATAATGAAAACAGCCAATGACGATCGTTTAGAGAAATCCGTCTTTACTTGGTTCCGGGACTTGGTTTTCCCAAGAAAGAAGCAAAGGAACTTTATTATCGCTACATTTTACGGACATTTTGAAACATTTTTTTAATATTCCAGCGTGCAACATTTTTATTACAATGTATTACTGATTAAATAAAAATGTTTTTAATGATGTACTTTACATGTACTATTGTTTGATTTCATTACAGTCATGTGCGTTACAATTTGTGTGTATGTGAGCCTGTAAATTTGAGCACGCCCACACAAGATCGCATATCCGAACTGTTTGCATAACCGAACAAAAAGCATGTCCCCCTAACAGTACGGATAATCGATGTTCTACTGTACTGTACATTCTCTAGTACACACACTGTGTTCTCCACTGCTGTACATTCTCCAGTACACGTACACACTGTGTTCTCTACTGCTGTACATTCTCCAGTGCACACGCTCTGTTCTCTACTGCTGTACATTCTCCAGTACACACACTGTGTTCCCCACTACTGTACATTCTCCAGTACACACACTGTGTTCCCCACTACTGTACATTCTCCAGTACACACGCTCTGTTCTCCACTGCTGTACATTCTCTAGTACACACAGTGTTCTCTACTGCTGTACATTCTCCAGTACACACACTGTGTTCTCCACTGCTGTACATTCTCTAGTACACACGCTCTGTTCTCTACTACTGTACATTCTCTAGTACACACACTGTGTTCTCTACTGCTGTACATTCTTCAGTACACACACTCTGTTCTCTACTGCTGTACATTCTCCAGTACACACACTGTGTTCTCCACTGCTGTACATTCTCTAGTACACACGCTCTGTTCTCTACTACTGTACAT